ATGCTTTGTTTATGCATCCTTGGTAGGTCACACCCATCTGTTCAGTTGATGCATCATTCTTACCACCTATATAATGAGAATGGTCATATATTATCATTTGTTGAATTATATTATATCGTAAAGCTTTAATAATATCCAACTTTTGAAAAAAAACCTGAATATTTATAAAACATTTGAAAACACTTTTTTAAGCCTCCCTCCCTTGCATATTGATTTTTGTGACTCCAAATGCTGACTGACTCACTGCCTACCTTTCCAAAAAACTTGATATACAATCATCCTCTCCAAATCTAGTTTAACCTAAATGAATGATGGCTGTAGTGTCAATGGTGATGCATACTTGTATAATTATTTTGAACAATTAACTCCAATAACCACACACACACACAAATCAAGCACAAAATAGTGGAGTATGTCATTACAACAGTACTCTTTTTGACACGAAATTAGACAATTGTTAACTTCTTACTTTCCTTCGAAGCAGGCAAATATTAGGCTATATCAAGGTTTGAGACACTAAAAATGTGTTACTCTTTCAGGTGCCCTCGTTTTAATTTTTATGAGTAAAATAAGAGTAATGCTCTCTAATACATGAGCTGTTGAACCATGAAAGAACATGTTGTGTTTGATAACTTTATGCTTAAAGTTTGTCATTGTAAGTGCTCAGATGAACTAAAGAGGTGCTGGTTCACGATCTGTTCAGTGTTCAGGCTAAGCCATGCCCCTTTATTTGACTGTGAGCGTTTGATTTTTCCACCGCGTGTACGTGCATGTGATGGGAACTTCACTTCTTCCAGTGGCAGTTTCAAGCCTTCAGACTTCATATTTTTTCACGCTGGTAAAATTGATCCAATCTTCGATCTTTATTAAGCTGAAATTCATATTTCGCACAGTTGATTTGCACGTAGACTCCACTAGAAGAGGGCAAAACATCCACTCTATACTGTGTTGCCAGATCTCTCTAGAAACATAAGCAACTAAGTCATTAAGCAAGGTTTAAGAACTTCCACTTGTGCAAAACAAATTAATTACAATTAAAATTGAAACAATTATTTAAATCATCTCATTACGCATCATGGACATTTGTAGGTTTTTCATGAGTATTGTAAGACCCCGTGAAAAAAGTAGGCCTATATGTTTATACTCTTTTTTGATACTGTTATGGAAATATGGATATACAGTAAATTGTCTTTACCTGTGTTATAGATTCGTTCAGAATCTATCACACATCGGTGTGGAGGCTAACATAGTTACTGTTATAGTTATTTTATAGTTATTGTTCTTGATGTGAATGGGCTTTAAGAGCTACTGGGTCCACACTTAGTTTATTAGCTTTTTGACTTTTTACAGTGCCTAGTGACTCCCTATGTTCATGGGTGTCTATAATTAATCAATAATCAAATTAAACAATACCAAAATGCATTCAAATATTAATATTTATTAAGTTTAACACATATTTGTCAATGATAAACATTCCTCATTTATCTGTAATATAAATAATATGCTAAAATTGTTATTTATACAGTGATTCTGTCATTTAGTGTAATGGATGACGCTGTGGTGTAACAGAGAATTTGCAAAAAAAAACCTGAATATTTATAAAACATTTGAAAACACTTTTTTAAGCCTCCCTCCCTTGCATATTGATTTTTGTGACTCCAAATGCTGACTGACTCACTGCCTACCTTTCCAAAAAACTTGATATACAATCATCCTCTCCAAATCTAGTTTAACCTAAATGAATGATGGCTGTAGTGTCAATGGTGATGCATACTTGTATAATTATTTTGAACAATTAACTCCAATAACCACACACACACACAAATCAAGCACAAAATAGTGGAGTATGTCATTACAACAGTACTCTTTTTGACACGAAATTAGACAATTGTTAACTTCTTACTTTCCTTCGAAGCAGGCAAATATTAGGCTATATCAAGGTTTGAGACACTAAAAATGTGTTACTCTTTCAGGTGCCCTCGTTTTAATTTTTATGAGTAAAATAAGAGTAATGCTCTCTAATACATGAGCTGTTGAACCATGAAAGAACATGTTGTGTTTGATAACTTTATGCTTAAAGTTTGTCATTGTAAGTGCTCAGATGAACTAAAGAGGTGCTGGTTCACGATCTGTTCAGTGTTCAGGCTAAGCCATGCCCCTTTATTTGACTGTGAGCGTTTGATTTTTCCACCGCGTGTACGTGCATGTGATGGGAACTTCACTTCTTCCAGTGGCAGTTTCAAGCCTTCAGACTTCATATTTTTTCACGCTGGTAAAATTGATCCAATCTTCGATCTTTATTAAGCTGAAATTCATATTTCGCACAGTTGATTTGCACGTAGACTCCACTAGAAGAGGGCAAAACATCCACTCTATACTGTGTTGCCAGATCTCTCTAGAAACGTAAGCAACTAAGTCATTAAGCAAGGTTTAAGAACTTCCACTTGTGCAAAACAAATTAATTACAATTAAAATTGAAACAATTATTTAAGTCATCTCATTACGCATCATGGACATTTGTAGGTTTTTCATGAGTATTGTAAGACCCCGTGAAAAAAGTAGGCCTATATGTTTATACTCTTTTTTGATACTGTTATGGAAATATGGATATACAGTAAATTGTCTTTACCTGTGTTATAGATTCGTTCAGAATCTATCACACATCGGTGTGGAGGCTAACATAGTTACTGTTATAGTTATTTTATAGTTATTGTTCTTGATGTGAATGGGCTTTAAGAGCTACTGGGTCCACACTTAGTTTATTAGCTTTTTGACTTTTTACAGTGCCTAGTGACTCCCTATGTTCATGGGTGTCTATAATTAATCAATAATCAAATTAAACAATACCAAAATGCATTCAAATATTAATATTTATTAAGTTTAACACATATTTGTCAATGATAAACATTCCTCATTTATCTGTAATATAAATAATATGCTAAAATTGTTATTTATACAGTGATTCTGTCATTTAGTGTAATGGATGACGCTGTGGTGTAACAGAGAATTTGCATTACACCGAATGACAAAACCATTACCCTGAATGACAAAACTTCTACATCGGCTAATATTTCAGCCAATCAAATGGCCACCTATGTCAAACAGTGAACTTGACCAGTAAAGTTAATCACAATTATTCACAACATCTACTTGTTTTTCAAAAAATCTAACATTAAAAGTGTTTTTTGGCATTTCACTGAATGACGTGTTTTTGTAACCTATGTTACCACACCATGAAAAGGTGAAAATATCAAGTATTTAAGAGCAATAAACTCACTTTTCTGCAGCACCACACGGTCTTCCAGATGCCATTTAATAATATCACAGACTGCCGAATGACTATCCGTTTTTTATATGATTTCAGAATAACTTCTTATTCCTGTTACACTGAATGAATGATTTCAGTTAAACTGCATTTTTGGGACAAAAGTCCCCTGTCCATTTAAATGCTTAAAAAAAAATCAATAAGACATAGTCCTTTTAATATAACACAGCCAATACTTACTTGAAAATGCCAAGACAACAAATATATATTTTTAACTTGGTATATTATATGTATATTTAAAGATGAGGGGAAGTCGTGGCCTAATGGTTAGAGAGTCGGACTCATAACCCAAAGGTTGTGGGTTTGAGTCTCGTACCGGCAGGAATTGTAGGTGGGGGGGAGTGAATGTACAGCGCTCTCTCCCACCTTCAATACCACGACTGAGGTGCCCTTGAGCAAGGCACCGAACCCCCAACTGCTCCCCGGGCGCCGCAGCATAAATGACTGCTCCGGGTGTGTGTTCACGGTTTGTGTGTGTTCACTGCTGTGTGTGTGCACTTTGGATGGGTAAATGCAGAGCACTAATTCTGAGTATGGGTCACCATACTTGGTCACGTCACTTCACTTTTTTTATTTAAAGATGTATTGGTAAAATCAAAGTCTGGACCATTACGCTGAATGACAATTTTACAATTTGGAACATTATTTCCCCCATATTTTGACATTTTATTGTCACAAGTTATTTGAAATATGAAAGTAGACAATTTACTTGCATTTAAGATGTTTTTATGCATTTAAAATGACTTTTGTAAATGTAATTTGATCCAGACACTATGGTGACGTCTCGTCTTTGACCCATATATACAGTATATATATATATATATATATATATGGTAACACTT